TGCAGCATACACGGGACATCCAATCATAGTTTGATCAGCTTTAGAATTCATTAGAATTATAATGTGAATGTGAACAAATAGTGTATACTAATATGTCAAACTAAATTTAATTTCAAAAAATGGTCTTTATATCAGATGTTGCTATAAACTTCTTTCTCATCCACCCGACTATTGGCGACCCTCAATCCGCAGAGACATTATAGTACTGCTCTGATAGATAGCAATGGCTTTCTCGAAGGGCTGACCAATTAGCAAGTGCCCATTAAGGCCACAAGCTGGTCTTAACGACTGATGCGAAATCATAGAAGCCTACTTTCAATATAGATACTCGTATTCATAATCATCTCTGTATTTATTCAAACTATACCGATTAAATATGCGAACTTTTCTCATTAACATAGGCTCCTTCAACATTAACAACTATTTAAATGCTCCTCTAAGATTTGTATGCCTTTTTTGAAGAGTGGTTCACTTTAAACCTCAATTTTAATTATATATTTTAAGTATATATATATATATATGTATTTGAGATTAATCAAAATATTAGTCAATTTCTAAGTATAAAAAGACATGAATATTTATATTTTATAGTAGATTAAGTACTTTATTAACATGAATCCTTTTACTTTATTCTAACTAAACTGCTACTATGAGTAAATAAAATTTATTTATTTATTTAGTCCAATATTTTAAAAATGGTTTACAATTTTTTACAATTTATTTTATATACAAATAATGATGTTATAGCAAGCAATCTATATGCTTTGGAGTAAGATCATAATGATATTGAAGAAATGTTATGGAATACAGTAAAACCGTTATGAAAAAATTCAGCATGAATTTACGATTTAAAATTAAGTCATCCGTTAATCTGAGGGAGTAACTGGACATAATAGCAAATCCCGAAAATAAATTTTGTACCTAAAATTAGAGTCGTTAGTTCAATACATATCATGATATGTGTTTGTATTTTTCATTTACCAAATATTCACAATCATAAAACTTTTCCTTTTGATTTGAATAGTTTTGAAGCTTAAGAGATATTAAAAATATAAGATCTTTTGTAAGTCTTCGTGACTCTTCGAAATCCTCATTTTGACTTGTCAGAATGAATATATTTATGGCATAGTTAATTATAAATGGCACATAGTAAAATAAGCTTCTTGAAATGGGTAGATAGCCACTTTTGACGTATATAATGCAGTCTAAACATAAATAGGTATTGAAAATGAAGCTGAAGATATTAGAAATCAGAATCCAGTTGAACCAATTCATGTTTTTCATAAACAGTTTTTGGCATTTCTCTAGATGTTTCGTTAAGAGTATAATATTTCTTAGTTCCTTGTGGCAACGCCTGATATTCCTTGAAGTTTCCAGATCCTTTAAAATAAGTTCAGCGAACCGATTAATGTTTCTCTGTTGTATTATTAATACATTTTGATAAGTTTGTATTGTATTGAAAATTATTTCGAATAAAAATTTATAACAAATTGGCAGGTAAAAAAAATAGCACACATATGACAAAATTTCTACAACTAAAATTAATTGTTTGATTTTAAATGCAATTTTTATATCCAAATTTTCATATATTATTTTGAAATTGATTTTCTGACCTAAGACTTTATTAGATTTTAACAATTTGTTACAAACAAATATGACGAATTTTGCTTGTTGTTTGGAATGAAATTTGTAGTAAAATATGAGAAGTGATATGGAACGTTGTATAACAATAATAATTTTTATAGCTTGGTATTGCATATAATAGTTATTGCATTGAACCAAATTGAATAAACAATCATAAAAAAAGTCAAAACTTATATCGTCAAAAAAGAAATGAGCCCAAAGCCAAACAATTTTAATTAAATATGTCAAAATTTTGTATATAACGTAGTCCTGCCCTTGCTCCAACTTGTTCAGTTTTTTATTATATTTGTAACTCTGAAAACCGAAAAACTTCAATATAAATATCGTTCGTGTGCCTAAACCGCAATTCAGTCTCGATTTAATGTTTTTAATTTTTCTGTAAGAGACGTGAAATGATCTATTAGCCTGCATTATCCCGAATAACTTTTCAAACTAAATTCTATTGAGGCATATAATATAGTGAAATGCAATAGTAAATAATGTTTTTTTTGTCATTATCTCATACGCATATTGCGTATATAAAAAGTTATGCTAAAGTAAATTACAATGTATATTTTTCCTTCATTACTTTCGTTAGTTATTAATTGACATAATTATTTAAAAATGGACGTACAAAACATGTTAATCTAATGGACTGCGAAAGAAGTATCAGAAAAAATGAAAAAAATATTAAATTGTACTATTAATGAAGTCTTTAAAATTTTGGAAGTAAGCTCCATTCAATTTATATAGTTCAGTAGGCATTGGTAAGCTTAGTTCATATATATAAAAAATAGGTAGTTACATAATAAACTAAAGAAGAGTCAAACTGCTAACAGATAGCCCAATCCAAATCCCACCTCGAAAAAAAAAAAAAACAAGAGTATATGCTATCTTTAGCTTTATCAAAGCTAAGATATTCGTTACACGAAATTTTAAATCTACATTGACGTTTCATTTACATAATAATATTATATGTACAATATATATACATATAGCAGAAAAAGTCTACGTTGACCCACAAAATTTTTCTTAAATTTCGCATAAATTATTTAATTTTTACTCAAATTAATTTTTGTTTTCTGATTTATTTTAAACAAAGAAACAACAATGAACTTCAAACATAAAAAATTAACAATTATTATTTAAAAAAAAAAATTAAACTCAATTATATGCAAAAGCAATAATTTTTGAAGCAGAAAATATCTTCGTTCACTTCTTAATATTTTAATTAAAACAACTAAAATTCGCAGAAATCTTAAATTTAATGGCCTGTGAGATAACCTCTGCGTTTAATAACCTCTTTTAGCCGTCTTTGCATGGACTGAACCCGCTTGGCAGTGTCTTGTGCCTTTATTTTTTTCAATTCTACCTTGATGACATTTCTTAACATATCCTTGCAGGAAATCGTGTGCTGGTGAATCTTGTTTATCAAATAAACCTACATATGTTCTATAGGACTAAGGTCTGGTGATTTTGATAGTGTTCTTAGTTGTCTGGGTCAGCAGTCAAATCCGTACGATCGCTGCTATATGCTGAGGTGCCTCAAGCCCTAATATTCTGTCATTTTTTTTCAAATTTCTTTTTAGCATATTTAGATACCCATATTTATGCATTATATCTTGTATAAATTAAAATTTACCATCACCATTACTTGCTATACACCCCCAAACTATTACGCCTCCACCATCGTGTTTCACCGTTTTAATCAATTTTTGTTTATCATAGGCTGTACATGTTTTCTTCACACAAGTTTTGTACCTTTGATTCCAAATATGCAACATTAACCATCATCGGAGAAAATAACACATTTTCAAAACTTCATAGGTTTATTTACATGTTTTGTTGCAAAGCTTAATCATTTTATTCTATTATACATGCTTTTCTTCAAAATCTTCCGCACGGCATCAGAACATATTTTGTTTTCAAGTATCTCGGCAATATGTTCAGACAGTTCGGAGGCTGTTACTCTTGGATTTACTTTAACCTGGTTGATTATGCCAGGTCAATTCAATTGACAGAATTGAGGGACGACAAGTGCGAGGTTTAGACACGTAATTACCCGTCTCTTGGATGTTATTCATAATTCTCTGCACATATGAATGTTAACGTCCAATATCGTTGGCTTACGTCAATTTTTCGTTGGCTTACGTCATCTTTTCAAAATTTAACGGTTATTTGTCGTTTACTAACATTAATTTCAGGTCTTTTATTTTCCATTGTAAAAATGTTTTGTTTATTGAAATAAAATGTTTTTAAATGATTAATTCTTAGACTTTTAGGAAGTCAACTAACAATAAAATATCATTTAATGACACGTTTATGCTTACAAGGGAATTGAATTAACGGTAAATGTAAATATTAAAAAGTAAACGTAAACTTTTTTGGTGTTAATTTGCGTTTGATTATTTTATTGAATTAAAAATTACGTGTTTTTCCATCTCGATGCAACAATTTGCTTCAGTTTTAAATCTTTTCGATCGTTGAGTTTTAAAAATGATATTTATGTTAGATATTTCTTAGTATATACATTTTTTAAAATTAGTTCTATTTTGCCCAAGGCTTTATTATGTTATCAATATAATTTTATCTACTATCGTTCGCAGGATTTTTGATTGGAGTCTTTGAATAGTATTTATATAAGTCTTGCAGGTGTTTCCCCATATTTCAATTCCGTATTTCCAGATCGGAACAACAATAGTTTTGTAAATTAGTATTTTGTTATCTATTGACAAACTGGAATTTTTACCAAGAAGCTAATATAGATCTGAAAATCTTCGATGAGTTCCTAAAAATTACACTATGATTTTAGATCATGATTCAATAAATTAGACAATAGTTTTGATAGTAAAGTAATTGTTTTTAATTGCACGATAAAAAAAATTGTCAGGAACTGCATGAACTATCGTTACGTGTGAAGTTTTGACCTAAAAAGACATCATGCGAGTATTCATTAATCATCTACCATATTTATCTAATTGACTATATGTGACTTCTAGCTATTCCTCAAACTGAAATGAACAATGAAACGAAAAGGTTTCGAGTACACAGCAGATGTAATTCCGGATGATTAGTATATAAATTGGCTCGATAAATTCATTGAAACTTTTTGGCACTGTGTTAACTCGAAAGTGATATGTATGTAAGTAATCTCTCCCACTCAATCTCTTTCTCTTAGTGTAGAATTAAGGTAGACATAAGAACACTAGTCTGTATACTATATAATATATAATAAATTGAGTCTGTTACAAACCGTAGACAACAACGGTCTTTTATGTTGCTCAAATATATATTAATTGGCGACGAGGAAAAAGTGAAAAAGAAAGCGAAAAAGTAAAAATATTTATTATAATATTTAATAAGTGGAAACAAAATTGATGAATCTTGAAGGAAAGATTGATTTGGAAAATAGACCTGAAGCTGTGAAAAAAGAGACTGACAGTATGGCAAATGCGGCAGTGGCATTAATTGGATCGATAGAAAATTATGTAATGGGTGAGGATTTTTCATTATATATTAATCGTATAGGTCATTTGTTGAATTTAAATAAAATTGAAAAAGACGAAAGTAAGACGTCCTTTCTGATAAGTCTTGGAGGCGCTGACCTTTATAAGACCTTGACCAGCGTGCTAGCACCGAAAAGTGAAATAGACTTCAAATATGAAGAAATAGTGGCAAAATTAAAAGCCCACTTTGCACCAACAAAAAACATAATTTTTGAGTGCTATCAATTTTTTAAAAGAGACCAACATACTGGTGAAACTATTGCAGATTATATTGTCGAATTGAAGCAGCTTGCACGAGAGTGCGATTTTGGAGAATTCCTCGATAAAGCTCTCCTTATCAAATTTGTTTGTGGGTTAAATAATTGCAGTATTCAGAACAGACTACTAAATGAAGTAAACCTTAAAAGCTTTGAGCGAGCTTGTGAGCTAGCATTGTCGTCGGACATGACGAATAATAGTATAGAGCAAATGAGGTCCAACAGCGTAAAACAGATCAGCGATAATCAACGTGGCAGAGTAAATCAAAGGGAACAATTAGACAAAGCTTTTAGAGACAAAAGTAAGCGCAGGTATAAAAGTGTTGAAAAAAATAAGTACATTTGTTATCATTGTAAGAAGCCAGGGCATATACAGAAAAATTGCTGGTACAAAAATAATGAAAATAAAAATGTGAAACGGGAATATCAAAATAGAGCAACAAAGTGGGACCAGAAAAACCAACGTAATGTTAATTATTTAGTTGAAGAAAACACGGTAAATTATTTGTGCAATTTACGAAACGAAAAATCAGAACCTTTAGAATGGTCAATTGAAATTGAACAAAACAAATTGAATGTGGAAATTGATTCCGGCGCGTGTGTTTCTGTTTGCCATATTTCTGACTATAATAAATTATTTAAACATATAAAAATAGAACCGATGGTAAGAAATATTAAAGTCCTGACAGGTCAAAACATTGCAGTGGTTGGTCAGGTTGAAGTGCGCGTAAAATTCGGTGGAAAATGTTATGAGCTTAATATGGTTGTTGTAGACTCAGCGCATGCATTTAAGATTCTGTTGGGTAGAAATTGGCTTGATAGGTTGGTACCTAATTGGCGTAAAAATTTTATAGAATCAACGTTGGTCAATTTAGTAAAAGAAAACTGTGAAGTCGATTTTACAAAATATAAACAATTATTTAGTAAAGACAACAATTCAACAATTATTGGTTATGAGGCAGAAATAGACCTTAATGATAATGCTTATCCAATTTTCAGTAAAGCGCATTCAGTTCCGTTTGGCGTACGACAAAAAGTAGAGGAGGAAATCCAGAGATTATGTGCAGAAGGGGTTATGGTGCCAACAACCAGAAGTAAATGGGCGAGTCCCATAGTTGTAGTAAATAAAGGTGATGGTAGCATAAGATTATGTGTGAACTGCAGAAGAACAATTAATCGATTTGTAGAAAATGAGCATCACGTTATTCCGCGAATTGACGACATTTTGGCAAATTTGTCTGGGTGGAAATACTTTTGTAAAATAGACTTGACGGGAGCATATTTGCAAGTCAAGGTGTCCGAAAGATCACAAGAATTTTTAACTGTGAATACACATGTTGGATTATATAGGTACACTAGAATGGTGTATGGGTTAAAAACGGCACCACAAATTTTTTCAAAAATTATAAGTGAAATTTTAAAGGGATTGAATAAAGTGCATTCATATTTCGATGATCTTCTAATTGGGGGAGCAAACATGAAAGAATGTGAAGAAAATTTAAAAGCAACTTTAGACAGACTATTAGAGGCAAACGTAAAAATTAATTATGAAAAATGCCAATTTTTTAAAAAGGAATTAACGTATTTAGGTTACGTAATTAATCAAAATGGAATATTGCCATCAGGAGAAAAAGTCAAAGCAGTTTTAGATGCCCCGGCGCCTACAAATAAATCAGAACTAAAATCGTATTTGGGTATGGTTAATTATTATAATCATTCAATACCTAATTTATCGGCGGAAGTATCGTCATTACATGAGCTAACTAAAAACAATGTAACGTGGATATGGAATGAAAAACATCAAAATATATTCGAAAAATCAAAACAACTTATTGCGAATATTGGCGTTTTAACACATTATGATCCACAAAAACCAATAATTATTTCGTGCGATGCAAGTCCTTATGGCTTGCGAGGCGTTCTGTCACATATTATTGACGGTGAAGAACGTCCAGTTCAATTCGTATCTAGTACGTTGTCTCCGGCTGAAAAGAATTACTCTCAACTTCATCGCGAGGCTTTAGCGATAGTTTTTGCAGTGAAGAAATTTCACAATTATATTTTTGGGTTACCGTTTACCATTGAAAGTGACCATCAGCCATTGCGGGAAATTTTTTCAATAAAAAAAAATCTGCCATCGGTAGCAGCGAACCGGTTACAGCGATATGCTGTTTTTTTATCAATGTATGATTACTCAATTAAGTACAAGAAGGGATCGCAAATGGGACATGCGGACGCGCTGTCTCGTTTACCTCTGCAAGAAGATACAAATGAAGATGACGATAGTATTAATATTTTTAACCTTATAGGCGACCTTCCAATTAAGATTGACGACATCAAAAATGAAATGTCGAAAGATGTGGCACTATTAAAAACGTACAAATATGTTAAGAATGGGTGGCCAGAAAAAATTGATAATAATTTAAAAAAATACTTTAAAATTCGAATATCGTTAGCAACTGAAGATAAGTGTGTTTTTTATGGTGAAAGGATTGTAATTCCAGAGTCATTGAGACCGAAAACATTAGAACTGTTACATAGTGGTCATATCGGAATCGTCCGCATGAAAGCTGTTGCTAGGACATATGTTTGGTGGCCGGGTATAGATGCTGCAATTGAGGAGTTCGTCGGGTCATGTGAAGCATGTTGTATGAATCAAAAACCGTCGAAACAAATTTTTACCAACTGGGAAGTAACAAGTGCTCCGTTTGAGCGTATTCACGCTGATTTTTGTAAATTTCAAAATTTGAATATTTTAGTAATTGTTGACACTTATTCGAAATGGCTTGAAGCTAAAATTTTGCGCAAGACTGACGCTATTACAGTCATAGAAGCGTTAAGATCTACTTTTGCTATTTTCGGGCTTCCGAAGAAAATTGTGACGGACAATGGTCCACCATTTAGTTCAAAGGCGTTTATACAATTTTGTACTAATAATAATATCGAATGTTTAAAATCGCCACCATATCATCCGCAATCGAATGGCACTGCGGAAAGAGGAGTACAAACTGTAAAAAACGCTTTAAGAAAGTATTTGTTGGATCCTAAAATTAAATGTAAATCTTGGGATTTTAAAATAAATAATTTTCTTTTGAGCTATCGTACTACTCCAACAACGACAACAAGGATGTCACCAGCAGAGATAATTTTTAAATTTAAACCAAAAACTCTATTAGATAATATAAATCCAAAAATCAAGAAAAATTTTAGGAAAAAAGAAAATACAAATAAATTGGAGATTGATAAGTTTCAAAATGGAGGAGAAGATAAAGCATTGAGTAAGTTTGAAAATGGAAAGCTGAATTATAGTAAACTCATAAACTTCAAACCCAATGAAACGGTATTGTACAAAAATATTGCAAATAATTATATTAAATGGGTTCATGCAAAGGTGGTTAAAAAACTAAGTCGAATTAGATATTTAATATCCATAAATGGTGTATTCAGGGTTGCACATATCAACCAAATGAAAAAATATAAAGGAAAAACTGTAACTTTTAATCCTAGGGTCCATACGTATGTAAATGAAGACCTAACTTATAAAGAAGTTTCAAATACTGAGGTTGTTGATACAGCAAAACCATTCGCTAACGACTACGACACAGAACAAGGTGTGGATACTGAAAATGAACGACTGGGGTTGAGACGTTCTGAGCGACGTAATAAAGGAAGACGAGCAAACTATAACTGAAGGAAATAAATTAATTAATAGTTTTTGAAATTAGATAATTATTTGAATTTGGAAAAGAAATTATTAAAATTATTTTAAAAATTAATTAAAATTAAAACTAAATTATAATTATAATTATTTGAATATAGAAAAGAAATGATTAAAATTATTTTAAAAATTAATTAAAATTAAAACTAAATTTTAAATTAAATTCATTAAATTAAAAGTAATTAAAACTACATAGGCTATAATGGAAGACTTATAGATTGTTGTAAATAAAAGTGTGGAGGAGATGATATGTATGTAAGTAATCTCTCCCACTCAATCTCTTTCTCTTAGTGTAGAATTAAGGTAGACATAAGAACACTAGTCTGTATACTATATAATATATAATAAATTGAGTCTGTTACAAACCGTAGACAACAACGGTCTTTTATGTTGCTCAAATATATATTAGAAAGAACTCAAAACAAAAACTGCTTTGTATGGTTTTAGATTAGTTTTTTCCATTTGTTATTATGGTATGTTTTGGGTGAATACATAATAATAAAGGTGAGAGAACTTACTTTGTTGTTCCACTCTGCTTGATATGCCACTGACAGTTATTGTACAGTGCCTTAAATTGATTAATAATTATTGCAGTATGTCATTTCCTTAACTAAAAACGTTCGATTTACATATGTTCACATATGTTTTTTTGAGTGAAAGCTTCACCATATATCGTCCATCAGGTTGACATCTAATTCAAAGCCTTGTCCCGCATTTTCTTCTAATAACCTTAGTCGTGTAGTTATAAAATTGAACTTTTTCGTTTCCCATCAAATTTATCTAAATTATCTTGAGTATCTTGTTATCTTGTGTATGAATGTGCAATGGCATTGAATTTGGGGAAACTCCTATATCGTACCTAATTCGCTTATATATAATATGAAAAATTTATTATTATAACCAAAAGATAAATTTTGAATAATCATTTATATATATATGCGTTGATTGAATAACAAAATCTTATATACCTATTTTTTTTTAATCTATTTAAGAATTAAAAATTTAGAGATAACAAATTTTGATGAATAATTAAAAAAAATTACTTGCAGTGGGTTTGTTATACGAACTTTACTTACTAGTAAAGTTAATTCACTTAGAAGTTTTTTAAAAAATAGAATGGATAATCTTAATTGATTTCGCTAATCTCTCTCTTATTAGTCAAGGTAACGGCATGACATTTAGTAAATTACCAATTAATTTTAATCACTAAATGTTGTGTGTTGATATTTAATGCATTTGCTTTATGATAAATTGTACAGACAATAAATTCAACGGAAATTAATGATATGCATAAATAAGTAAACATAAAACATATGTAGATGCGATGATATTAAGATTAATGCAGAAAATCAATTCCAAATCCAAAGTTCAAATATCGCATCTGCAGTAAGTTCGTGTTTGGGTTTGAGTATTTATTATCCATTCTTGCACGTACGAGTATTGAATTACTATTGCCAATGCTGTAGCGATTGCAATTGCAATGGCAATGGCAATGGCAGCTGCAGTTGCTTTTACTGCTCCTGAAGCGTGGTTGTTTGAAAGCATGTCACTTAATCCTCAAATGTAACTACAAGTAATTGATTTAAAACGTAAGCATAATAAATTTCATGATTATTGACACGAACTGATTTAGAAGATTAAGCAGATTTATGTCTAATAGAGTTTGTAATTGTAAACGCGAATAGCTAAGCGGATTTTATAAATACAAACGTTTATGTAATGTGTACGATGATTTAAGGAAAATTGACACAACATTGCGTTACAATTTGTGGTTTGGAAAAATATTACTCATACTACATCACATTACATTATTACTTGGATGCAAAACTTTAAATAAAGTTTTCAGATTTTTACAATATAGCTTTGCGTGCAATGTACCTGATATTACAACAAGTATAATATTGTTGAAAAGAAGCATCCATCCATTTAATATCCACATATTTCTTACTGCAAACACACAAAGCTAAGATATCATTGTTCTAGAAATTATAATTTTATTTTTTTATATCCTTTATTTCAGAAATTTGTTTTAAAAATTTCAGTCCATAGTTCATGTTTGTGAAACGTATGACCATTGCCTTATTTTGAGTTGAAGACTTTAATTTTGGTACTATGAGAGATAGGTTGCGTTCTTCATATATTACATAGGGCTCCGTGATTTAATCATGTTGGTCATGTAGCAAACACAGTTCATATGGTGGAAAAATTCTCATATATACTGAACTGACTTAAATAATATTGATGCTTTTTTTTGTATGGATGGGTTTATATGGGTTTATAAGTGATTTACTTAACATTTGAATCTTTTCTGCCACTTTCCATACTCGTATTTTTAACAATTATAGGTTTGAAATGACAAACTGATTGAGAGCAATAAACGATGTTCCATTACATCAACTTTTAGATGCCGGCATCAGCTTTCTATAGTTAAGTTAAATTGGCTATATGAATGAAATGTGTTGGAAAGCGTAAAAATTGTACTCCTACGTCAGATTATGTATATTAGATATCATTATTTTACTAGCTACGAGTTTAACGCTCTAGATAAGAAACATAGCACAGCTAGATTACAGTTAGAGAAGAAATGAGCAGTTGAATATTTATTGTTTAATATAATTGTCATACCCACATGATACTGTCTAATAGGCAGACTCACAGGCCGGTTCGGTGCTTTCAATAAGTATTGTTGTAAAGAAAAGTGCACATATTCATATATCTAGCGCTCGTCTTATTATACATATTAACTCTGGGATGCCCCTTCCTCAATAGTCTATGTATTATCATTAGTGAAAGCGTTAAAGATTTTACATTTTTAATTAACGACACAATGGCTACCCTGTTCAAAATACATAAGGTATGTTTACTTAAAATTTTTCGCAATATTATTACAACTGCCATAAATGAAAGACGTCATTTGTAAGATGTAATGGTAATTGTAATAAACCAACTTCTATTTAAGTTAAGATAAACTCATTAGAATTTTTGTCATTTTATTTTAAAATCAGCTTTAAGTCATATTATTGAATTATTTTATTAGTGAATTATTTTTGAATGAATATTCCTAATATTTGTATTTTTGAGGGGCTCTAAAACCTGTAGTGCCCTGTGATAGTTTTGTATGCTTATGTACTTCGCTTTTACGCAACTGCTTGAAATGTTTAGTAAATTGGTTCTTTTAAAGCATTCTAAGCAATTAAAAAACTTTTTGTGTATTACTTGATGTTTAATAATATTCAAAATGTTTGAATTTTGAAAAAACTGCTGATAGTTGCTGTTAGCAACACAAAAAAAAAAAAACAATAATCAGTACATCTGTATCATGCAACGTTTGCCGCTTGTAAATTTGACTCAGCTTTACATTGAAAATCCCACAAATCTTACTTAATACCCGCAGCAAAACGCAAACTAATTTAAGCACATAAAATTTGTTAAAGCGCAGGGGAACAGAAGGGGAAACAGAAACCACCATATCAGCAAGCATACATACGAGTACATCTATAGAAAGGACTGCCAAACTCCTATACCAAACACACAAACTCAAAGCAACACAACACAACACTGCACAACACTGCACAATAAGAACAAGCAGACAACATGACAACGAACGATACAAGTGTCATATGTGCGCCTGCAACTAACCAACACTGGCAGTACTGTTATGCATAGATGCACAGATACAAATCTACATCTACGAGTAGACAAGCATTTCATGTATACGCATGCATATCAAGTGTGTGTCTGTCGCAGTATTTGTATTTTGGTGTATTTTTGACTTTGTCTATTTTGCGTAAAGCCCGAAAATTTTATGTAAATCCACGAAAACGACAAGTCAAACTTTAATTAGCCTAAGTTATCAGTGTGTTGGTGTTAGAAAGTTAGTGTGCGTGTTTTTGGTGGTTTTGAGATACACACAAATACATGAGCACGGAGCTATTATCTAACATTCAACACAAGACAACATCACACATACTTTATTATGTTAAATATTACAATAGTATGCATTAGTGCATGTCGTGTGTTATCCTGGCAGTAGGATTTGTTTTCGGCGCCATTTAATAATTGCAGCTCTGCAGCAGGGGTTGTGGTAAAGTCACAAATCCAAAATTTTTAATAATACCAGATATTAGAGTGTTTCACAAAAAACTAACTAAAAAACTTTATAACTTGAAGTTTAGAATAAACTGCATATGATAAATTTTTAATGTCAGAAAATTAACTACATATGCGGAGCTTCAATAAAGCGATTATTAATTAGAGTTCGTTATATAAAAATAAGTTTACAAACTATTACAAAAAGTTAAAAATGGATCATCAAATTGAACTGCATTTTTCATAAATAAAAAAATAAAAAATATTGCATTTTTGAATTAAATTTTTCGAATTCAATTTTAATTTTCTATATTACTAATTACGACCACTAATTACGACACTGTCTCGATCGAAGAATGTATCACACGATACACGAATCTAATAAGCAATACTGTACATCAATACTGTTTCTAGATTGAAACGGAATGATGGACCTGCCATCCTTTTTTCCTAAAGATTATTCTGTACATCAATACTGTTTCTATACTGAAACGGAATGATGGATCTGCCATCCTTCTTTCCTAAAGATTATCCTGTTTGATTCAATTATGCGCAGTGATATCTGGTAATAAGCCCTGGCTACTTATTCAGAGGTCACGTAAAATAATTTACAATTCATTTTGTACTTCATTGTAGTATGTATGGTATATATAAAATAATTTGTAATGTAATGTTATTTCTTTAAGATTCTAAAACTCATTGTTAGGCTTTAAATTAAAGCGATTCAAATTAAAGCGACATGTTGCTGAATAAAAAAAAAATATTGTTACTATTGTTTTTAAAAGCTGATTTTGGGCTGAAAAATGTAACACTACAAAGCATCGAATAGGTTTATATTTGTTATCTGGAAGGATTGTTGGAAGGATTGTGCTCTGCTTGACGGA